TTTCGTGTACCGTTAAACTGGAACGTTCAATTCTAAGTTTCTGCACGATAAGTAAAAAGTATTCGACGGAGTTGGAATTTTAAAGCGTCTGAGACGTATCGGCGAATCGATTAAAACCGTATTTTACTTTCAAACGGAGGCAATCGCGTAATTACGTTGTTACGTGATGATTCGATGAAGTAAGAAACGGTTATCGAATAATTATTCCCATTGCTGTTCGAAAGAGACCGCGAGAAGACGATTTAAGGGAATTGCGCGAACTTCGTGATCGAGGCCGACGTTAACGAGGCTTCAAGCGTGCTCGTTTCTGGATCCCACATTTGCATGGGAAAAGTGGCCTCTTTCGAAAGGACTTGTTTACGGGAGAGAAGCTCAGCGAAGTTTCTTCGCGTGCAAGAAAAGGCGCAATTACTCTGTGAAGCGCACCTCGGTCCCCTATCGTAAGAAAAGCTCGAAATATTGCAGACGATATCGATTTGAACCAGGCTTACTGCATCTTCGAGCCATCGAAGAGCATCGACGTCTCTCACAGAACATTTTAATCGGAAGACCCAACCGTTTCGTTTCATATTTCGTACGAACCATTGAGAAATGTAATTTTACAGAGAAAAATTTAATAATTTTTACGTAAAATTATTTAAACATTTCTTAAACATGAATTAATATGATCAATCAAAGAAATTTTAAGTGCTTCGATGATGTATTTATTATTAATTATTGTATGAATTTAATTCCAAGTTCAATTTACAATATTACTTTAGACGGTTAAAAATATTTTAAAGACCATCTTTCAATCATTACTGCGGTTCTTTGTGCAAAGTGACATTTTTAATAATAGAATTAATGAAATGGAAGTTTTGTAGAGGGGTGTCTTGACCCCTAAATATAATAAAGTATTTCTTATATTTCTATATGTGAACTTTGTTGAGGAATGCAGTGTCGCCACCTATGAGACCGATTCGAATGGGACTTCCCCGCGCGACGACTAGAACGTTTGCTGTACTCGATGGTGTTAGATGCCTTTTTCATTTTCTAAAAGTTACTCTATGCAGTCTTAAAGTATTATTAAAGTAATAATAAGTCTATGAATACATTCGTATTAATAGTGGTCTCACCCAAATCATAATAAAGTCCATTCTATAGTTCTTTGGGAATTAAAATTTCCCATAAAAGCATAAACATCCGCAGTCTATTCATCATTTATCACGTTAAGAGAGTAAATATGTTTTATTTACATAAAGAAAAAAGATCTTCCTATCATTTTATTTACTCTTATACTGTTTCGAAGATTGAGAAAAATTTAATCACTTTACGTAAAGTTATTTAAACATTTCTTAGACATGAATTAATATGATCAGTCGAAGAAATTTTAAGCGTTCCGATGTTTTATTAATTATTGTACGAATTTAATTCGAAGACCAATTTGCAATATTACGGTTAAAAATATTTTAAAGACCATCTTTCAATCATCACTGCAATTCTTTTTGCAAAATCATATTTTTATTAACCCTTTGACGTACAATTTAATTTTGTTTAAAGGGTATAGCCGAATAAGGGGGTCAAATGTGCCCCCAAACCGAATGGAACGAGCCCGGGGTCATTCGATAGCAAAAAAAAAAATAACCCATGTGTGCAAATTTTTAACTTGAAATCTCGACCGTGGGGGTAGTAATGGGGTGAAAACGAAAATCATGTTTTTGAATTATTTCTCTTGACCTATTGAGTAAAAAAATGTAAAAAAATTCAGAGACATTTCGGGTACCGGGGCACATACTTTGGGAGATTTTCAGATTTTTTGATTGAAGAACCAGGTAGTGAAAAATAAAAAACAGCAAAAAATGCCGAAAAATGCCGATTACGTATTGAAGGAGGCCCGGAACTACTTTTATACTTTTACAGTAAACAGGTATTACTATTACTATTACTCTCAATTTTTTTCAGATTTTTCATTTTGGTGCGCCGCAGTGAAAAAAAATAAAAACCGAGTTTTTCCTCATTTTCTGCGTATTAGAGTAACTTACACGTTGAATTTTTATGCATCCTTCAATATATAAGTGTTTTGTAGACTGTTTAATGTTTCTACACTAAGCAGAATTACATAACAATTGAAACAAATAAAATAAAGCCAACCGTTGAGCGCAATATATCCTAGAAAATCACCGATATTTTCAACGGGGTCGATGGCGCAGATGTTAGAGTGTCCGACTGCTGAACCGCTGCAAGTTTTTTTACCATAGGTTCGAGTCTCTCTTCTGGACTTAGGATTTTTTTTCCTTCATTATTTTTTTTTTCAAATTCTAACTATATAACAATGCTTTATATTTATTTATAAATGTTCTGATAGCATTTTACAAATATTTTAACCTGAAATATGTATAAATATAGTCTTGGAGTGTTTTTTGCGTTTTTATTTTTTTTGTCAACCACGATTATTGTTTAACATCTCTTACACTGAAATTAATGTGAAATGTTAGTTTTCAAATCTCTTACCTTTGACTATTGTGAATGGATCGGAGCAGAAGATTGTATATTGGCTTACTATTACTTCTTCTCGCCCTTCGATCAAGCAGATCTTTCCTTCTTTTTCTCTTTCTGTGATAAATATGAATGTTTGCTACGGCTTTAGTATCTAACGTAGATATGTAAGGGTTATTATCCTTTCCTTACTGCTGGTTTTAAAGATAATGGAAACACTTGCAGGACCAACCTCTACGGACCATGCCAAGTAATTATGTATAAATCCCATCGCATACAGTAGCATGAACTGAGTAATTAAAAAATACATTGTGAAACCCGAACGCGACAATCACCCATTGACCTGAACGGTCTGGGCCCTCACCCAACGAACCTTTATTTCCTTCGTAACGCAGGTAGGACAATTAATCATTTTTCCCCGTGGTTTCCATCGAGCAATGATACTTCATTCAAAAATAAGCATGAAACGATCAAACTGGTACTTAAAAATGGGTTTATTAGAAAAAAGTATCATTGGCAGAGAGTGGGTTAATAGATTTGGCGTGGAATGGCCCTTACATGTCTACGTTAGATACTGAAGCCGTAGCAAACATTCATATTTATCAAAGAAAGAGAAAAAGAAGGAAAGATCTGCTTGATCGAAGGGCGAGAAGAAGTAATAGTAAGCCAATATACAATCTTCTGCGCCGATCCATTCACAATAGTCAAAGGTAAGAGATTTTAAAACTAACATTTCACATTAATTTCAGTGTAAGAGATGTTAAACAATAATCGTGGTTGACAAAAAAAATAAAAACGCAAAAAAACACTCCAAAACTATATTTATACATATTTCAGGTTAAAATATTTGTAAAATGCTTTCAGAACATTTATAAATAAATATAAAGCATTGTTATATAGTTAGAATTTGAAAAAAAAAATAATGAAGGAAAAAAAATCCTAAGTCCAGAAGAGAGACTCGAACCTATGGTAAAAAAACTTGCAGCGGTTCAGCAGTCGGACACTCTAACAACTGCGCCATCGACGCCGTTGAAAATATCGTTGATTTTCTAGGATATATTGCGCTCAACGGTTGGCTTTATTTTATTTGTTTCAATTGTTATGTAATTCTGCTTAGTGTAGAAACATTAAACAGTCTACAAAACACTTATATATTGAAGGACGCATAAAAATTCAACGTGTAAGTTACTCTAATACGCAGAAAATGAGGAAAAACTCGGTTTTTATTTTTTTTCACTGCGGCGCACCAAAATGAAAAATCTGAAAAAAATTGAGAGTAATAGTAATAGTAATACCTGTTTACTGTAAAAGTATAAAAGTAGTTCCGGGCCTCCTTCAATACGTAATCGGCATTTTTCGGCATTTTTTGCTGTTTTTTATTTTTCACTACCTGGTTCTTCAATCAAAAAATCTGAAAATCTCCCAAAGTATGTGCCCCGGTACCCGAAATGTCTCTGAATTTTTTTACATTTTTTTACTCAATAGGTCAAGAGAAATAATTCAAAAACATGATTTTCGTTTTCACCCCATTACTACCCCCACGGTCGAGATTTCAAGTTAAAAATTTGCACACATGGGTTATTTTTTTTTTGCTATCGAATGACCCCGGGCTCGTTCCATTCGGTTTGGGGGCACATTTGACCCCCTTATTCGGCTATACCCTTTGTTCGTACAGGGAATGGTCACGAATAAGAATAGATTTGTTTTACGAATATCTCGTGAATGTAAAAATATATTGATTTTAATGTATAAGACTTAATGACCAGTGAGTAGCCCCATGATTGTGAAACTTGGCATCAAGAATTGTAACGAGTCAGAGACGTTATTGGCAAGGGGTTAATAGAATTAATGAAATATGAACTTTGTAGAGAGTTGTCTTCAAAATCTCGGCACAAACATATAGGACGACCTAATATATTAAGAAAAAGTTAATAATCGAAGAAATCAGAGTCACGAATAATCCAGAAATACGTTGGGTCGATCGTGACCCCAAAAGATAGTAACCCTTTGAAGGTTAACGAAACGTTATCATCGACGGGGAGAAAGCTAAGAAATAAACGTACAATATCCGGTTTTATTATGGATTTTGTCGTAATTGCAGGCCATTCGTGCAAACGCGCTATAAATATTATACTACAAGGTGACGATGAAATACGACCTGGTGTGAAATGAGTATAGGGGGAGTAGGTAAATGTCACGTGGATTCAGGACCGTTTAAGACCTCAAAGTCAACCATGGATGGACTTATATTGCTTGATATACGAGCCCTTTATAACCTGCAACGCGGGAGGTAGAAATTTTCTCATATTTTTATGTGTAACGATTCGATGCTCTGCACGGTATCGGACGAGAACCGCTGGAAAAAAGGAAGGCGACGGACAATCGAGCGAAAGGCACCGTAGAATTACCCGTTTTAAATATATTCTGTTCACGCATCGATAACTGACAGAGTACTCGTGAGATTTTTACAGAAACGGCTAGAAGCGGAGCGGTTCTTTTTCAAGTTTTTATCGTCTCTGTTACAGGGTGACAGTGCTGGGCGTTCTACTGGGGATTCTCGAATGGGATCGCAGCGTTACGTGCGTCCTTCTTCTGTGGGAATACGTGGTGGGATACTTGGCCATTTTCGTGGCCTGCATGATAGTGGAATTTTCCATCTGCTTCCTGGCGACCAGAGGGAGCATCTTGGACACTGCCGCGAGAGCGCCCATGCAATATGTTCTCTACGTTCGAATTTGTAAGTGACGCCATCGATCATTCTAATCGAACACATTGTCCTTGTTTGTGCGCAGTTAATCAACAGAACTGAGAACAATGCATATATATTTCATATACACGTATTACAGTACCTGTCACATTAAAGACACGTGTAGTGAATTATGTCACATATGTTCGTATACACGTATAGTGCATTATGTACATTACACACGAATTAATACATTTCTATCTTAATTCGTGTAATTTTCAGAGTATCGATATTAATTTACGGATCCAGGATATGATTCCGCAACAAAGTTTATTAAATTAGTTCTCTATTTTCATATAAAAAAACGTTAACACATTAGTTTTTTAAAACGGAGAATTAATTCAATAAATTTTGTTGACAAAAGTAATGTTTTATTTCATTTTTCTATTTAAACTTCAGTATTTTTAGAATTATATTCCAAATTCGTAAATTAATATCAATACTCTGCAAATTAGACGAATTAAAATAAAAATTTATTAATATACGTGAAATACTACACGTTCAAAACCGTAATCTCTAATCTTTAACATTATAATGGTGATTCACTACAAATGAGAAAAACTTATTTCTTATGAATCGAGCTGTTGTTATTGTTGAGACTGGTATAAATCTATTTTCTCATACATTGAAATATTTAAGGGTTTACGTTTGATTAAATTAAAAATAAAACTTATCAACGGTTATGTCACGTTGAAAACACCGGTTGTTGTTTGATTACGGAAGTTAACACGTTGACTGCCATGGTGGTCACCGGTGACTGACGCTTCAATCCTACAATTTTAAAACGCTCACAGTAAGTAAACCTTAATACTTATATATTTTTTAATAATGTCTTTGCCATTAGAAATCCTACAAAATAACAAGTATATACCCTATTGAACTATTCAATATTTCTATTTGTTATGCTATAATTTAAAAAAATATATCTCTCTATCAGTTTTGTAATTTAGCATTACTTACTTGTTAATATTAAAAAAAAATACTACTTCGTAAATAATAATAAATGTGTTTTCGAACTTTGAATTCCACCTCTTCAGATTCTTCTCTTTGCCTCTTTAACGCGTCGACTGCCAGACCAAATCTCTCAAATTGTCCACGAAAACGAAACTTTGTTTTTAAACAATTGGAAATTACTCGCAATTTTCCATTGTACTTATTTTTACAGCCTCTTTAAAATTTAATCTTGAGAATTAATTTTTTTAGCTCCTTAGTGAAAATATGTGGATGACTTGGTAGCCAACGTGTTAATAGGAAATGAATAAACAGAATTTTACTTCATTTTTCGGCATTGCTACTATTATAATTAGTCACAATTAAAATGCAATTTTCATATTTCATATCCTCGAGTATAACTATTTATTGTTCTAATCTTCTGCTATTTTGTATTTACAACAGTATTATTATGACATAAAAAGAGAGTGCTCGATTATGTTACTTTGAACATTGGTATTATTTTGAATACATCAATGACACTTTTAAATGGATCGTAATATAGTTATTTTACATGAATAATTATATACGCATTTACAGGTGAACTCGAACTACATCGATTAATGTATACACAAATATATGATTTCGTTTGAAAAAAACGTATTTACTTTTCACACGTGCTTTACGTCAACAAAAAAAATACTATGTACTTCGTAAATTGAAGTAACGAAGTTGTAATAAACAATATTTGGTAAAAATAAATGTAAAGAATTAGTGTCCAAATACGAATGGGAGAAACTGTATACATAAATATATTGTCTATAGACAATGCTACGAAACGCTGTTCAGATATTCTGGTTTCAACGTTGTTCAAACTTACACACTTCCAATTATGGAATATTCAAGCACCAAAGTGATGTTAATATTAAAAAAGAAAACAAAAACTACTTCGTAAATTGAAGTACCACAGTGTAATAAACAAAATTTGGTAAAAATAAGTGGAAAGAATTCATAAGAAAGAAGTTTCTTTCCATCTATAGCGAATCATCATTATACTATACAAATACGAGTGGGAGTAGTTGTATGTGGGTTGAGAACTGCAAAAGTAATGCCTAATTTGAAAGAAATGTACTACAGTACACACTGGTCACACCCTTCTTCCAATAAAATCGAAACTGCCAGATTTCATGTGAAGAAGTTTGGACGAGATTTTGTTCTCGTAAATAGTCGAACTTCAACGTTCAAACTCAATTTTTAATTAAAACAGTATGTTGTCAAGAACACCATTCTGAACAAGGTTTTTTTTCTAGAACAATTGGCGATCGCTTTTAGTTAATTTATCAAAACCTATTGCAATAATTATTCAATAAATAATTTTATTAATTTTAGAAGGGAAATTTATCTAAACGATTAATTATTTTAAAATTTAATCAACGTTTGTATATGCTCTTGATTTTGAATTCCATGTTACAAACTTTGCTCCATTAATTTCTCTTTGAATATAAAATCGAGAAGATATTTGGTGAATTAAAACCGACAGTTAATTATTTTAAAGGAAAAAGTTATTCAAAATGGTACCCTTAATCATATACATATTCTAAGGTCGAGGTCATCGGAGTATTCTTTCCTGAACTAAATAGTTATGGTAAGACGGTATGGTTTATTAGCTTATATTAAGCGAATGGAATTTTCCAAACAATGATTCTTGATTCTATTGGTGTCTACTGTTGTATACAAAGTTCCCGTAGATATAGTCCTTCCATCCCATAATACTGTCATTGAAATCTGGGCGGGACAGTCTTGACCCGCTTCGTGTCAACTTCACACAATACTTGGTCGTGTATTTTTACCGCCTCGGTACATATGTAGTATGTTCAATTACTGCAACGTTGCATCATTTTACGTGAATATAACAATGGTTAAATAGTTCAGCTTATGTACATTCGTAATCAAATTGTATGTGTTTAATTGTGAATTCATTCACCTACACCAGATAAACTAAAATCTCAAAAGGGTGTATAGCGTGTTAATAAAAAAATATACAGGGTGTTCGATCACCCCTGGGAAAAACTGTAATGGGAGATTCTGGAGGACAAAATAAAACGAAAATCACGAATAACAATTTGTTGATGGACGCTTCATTAAAAAGTTATTAACGTTTACAGTTCTGCCCGTATTGAATTTTTTTCTCGAAAATGCGTAGCATTTCGAGGGTATGTGTATTCACCAAAAATGATTGTAATTGACCTCCGCAACTGAAAATAATTTTTTCAGAACGATTCCAAATTTTTTTTTTCGCCGAAAAATTTAGGCACTGTCGATTTTTCTTAAAAATTCGTTTTTGATTTTTAGTAATTTTGTTTGATGCCCTACAGGAAAGTTGTTTAATACTTTTTTGTAGGTATCCATGAGCACTACTTTCATACTAAATGTTATTGAAATATATTCACTATTGTAGAAGTTATGGACGTTTGAACATTGGACCATTTTTATGGGGTTTTTCTCATTTTGCGGGGACAAGGATCAACTTTTCGAATATTTTTGTAATTTGTACATATTCTTCGCCTAAATACGCGTTGGTTGCATTTTGAAACATTGAAATTGTCCAATCCGTTCAGGAGTTATGACATTTTAAATATTCGCATGAAATTACGGGGGACCATTTCAGCCTCAGACTATATTTTCGGTAAGGAATTTTTTCATCGAAAATGGTTAGGATTTCGAGGATATGTCTATTCACCAAAGATGATTATACTTAACCCCTCTAGCTAAAAATATTTTTTTTAGAACGATTTGAAATTTTTTTTTCGTCAAAAAATTTTAGCATAATCGAATTTTTTTCTGGAAAATGTGTAGGATTTCGGGGGTATGTGTAATAACAAAAAATAATTGTAATCGACCCCTGCAACCGAGAATAATTTTTTTAGAATGATTTGAAATTTTTTAACAACTTTTTAACGAAGCCTCAGTCAAGAAATTGATATTCTTGGTTTTTGTCTTATTTTGGTTTCTAGAATCTCCCATTAAAATTTTTCCCAAGGGTGGTCGAACACCCTATATACCTAATTGCATGGTATTACATTCTTACAAAATTTATCACACCGTACAAAATTATTATAGTACTTTACTACGTTTTCGTTTACTCAAACGAAACGTATTCGTTTTCGAAACTTACTCGATGAGTTGGTCGTGGACTAACGTTGGTTTCAATTTGTAGAGCAAGCAATTAACGAGTTAAGTATACCTGTGAACGATTAAAAAAACTGGCCTGCTTTAGAATTTTTTAGAAAGGTGAATGCACTGAATCCTTTGCAATTAAAATTTCATTAGACTATTTTCAAAATTGTCTGAAATGTAGTCATCTATCGTTAAATTCTTTTAATTAAAATAAAATGACGGTTTTTGAAATTGAAAACATCGATTCTTACATGTTTTTTTTGTCGATGAAAGTAGATCAGAAAAAAATTCAATCGTCTCATTCAATATTTTCTAAAAATCTAATATAAATCGATCGAACATTTCTAGAGCTATCGCGTTCATCTGCTTCGAAAACCTGGTTATGAGAAAAACGCTATTATAGCTTCGGTAAAAGCGCCTCCGAGTGCTCGGGAGTTTGTTCGCTTGAAATTTCTTAAACTTATCAATTCTATAGACTCCAACGTAATGTTTTAGGTCGTAGTCTCAAATTTACGCTTCAATAAAATAGAAAAATGAAAAAAGAATTTTATTCAAGCGACCAGATACATGCAATCCTTTTTTTAATTATAAGTTGAAAACTTCATTAGCAAAAAACATTACGTTTGAAATGTTATTTAATTCATATTATTCATAAAATGCACAAGAAATTAATTTCGAAATTAGTTTAACGAGCAAATATTTACAGTATGTTTTCAATGAAATTTATTACATTTATTTTTACACATTTTCTGTACAAATATATTGAATATTTTTTATTTAGAGCTTTAAATACGTTTGCATAGTTTACTGATTATGGTCAACGCGATTATAATAAATATAGCTTGATGAGTACTTGTTAACTTTTTATACGTTCGTATTGTTAT